GGACTTCCAGACGATCCCTGAACACCTGCCACGCCTGGCAGACCGGGGATGCCCAGCGATCCACGCTCGCCCTTGTCGCCGCGCGGTCCATATGGGCCGGGGTCACCCTTCTGGCCCTTGTCGCCCAGTGGTCCGTCCTGACCCGCAAAGCCCGTGACACCCTTGGGTCCGGTGGGGCCCAATGGACCTGGCAGACCGCGGTTACCCTTCTCGGCAATGCACTTGGGCACACAGCCCGCGTATCCGGCTGTACAGTTCTTGGGTGGCTGTCCGCCGCGCTGAATGGACGCCGAGTCTACAATGTCATAGCTATCATCAATGGGAAATGAGTCCCGGGGGTCTTCTCTGCTTTGGTGTCTAACTGTGTCCTGAATCGAACCAGAGGTGCCAGCGGTCTTCCAGAATTGCTGCAATGATACGAAAGTTAAGCTTCATCGATCCCCCATCAATTCTTAAGGGTCGGGGTCGAGGGTCACTTACAGCGTTTGCACCAACCAACGCTCCAGCGATGACAGCGGCGTACAGCAGCCTGCAAGATGTGGATGTTGATATTATATTTTTTTTTGATAATATACATATATATATATTTGAGGGATATCGTATATCTATTGTATCTTTTTTGTTTTTCCGACTCCTGCAACCCGACCTATGCTTTACTTAAAACTTGAAATTCAGAGTACAAGAGAGCTGCACCGAGAGCAGCCCTCTACAAGAAAATCGAAGATCACTCGAGTTAGAATTGACATACACTCGTATGTACATACATACATATGTATGTAAGCTTTTCAATCGTGTAGCTATGGGTGAGACTGTGAGCAAATGGTTTCTCTGTTGCGCGATCAATATGTGTGAGTGTGTTATATGTGTGACAGAGAGGGAACGTAAGAGAGTCAGCTCATTCAAGAGAGAGAGAGGGGAATTTTTTTAAGAGAACAACGAAATCTGATCATATTTGTACGTATCAGAATTTGAACATTACAAAATTGAAGTGAGATTTAAATGTTCTGCAAGTGCTATTTCCATATTAACTTTTAGCATGTATTTTTACAAGAACAAATTAATGGAGAAGTAAATTCGTTATTTTTTTATTTAAATACATATTTTTTTTATTCAAGAAAATATTTAGATAGTTAAATGGAATTGTAGCAGGATTTCAATCTCTTTTCCTTTTATTTTCCGTGTGAATTTAGGATATATTGTATGTTGTGATAGTTTTTCTTTTCGGTATTTTCCAAAAGACTAATTTTTTACTTACCGCTTCCAGAAGGGCAACATCATGCCCTATGCACTTAAAACTGCACAATTATTTGCTCTGTCCTCGTCGAGTTGTAAATATGTTGCCGTCGTTGGGCCTGAAAGATGAGCCAGAAAAGTGGGTCATTTATATTTCGCTGCACTTGCCAAAATATGGTTTTCAAATTGTTATAAATTTTTTATTTCATATTTGTCTCAAAAATTTTTAAAAATTTTTTTAATTCTGAATACTGTTTTATTTAAACGCGTATATTTGATTTCAATTTGTAGAACGGTTTAGGTTGGAGAATTTTGAGTTTCACTGACGTCCAGGCGCACTTTACAGTTTGACAAGCACTGTGGCTTCGAACAAGTTTCTTGCAGATATCTTTTTCTCTAGAGAAAATTTTATTTTTTGGTGTTTCAGATATTGCGAGCCTCTTTTGCAGCTGTGATCGTATTTTTTTTTTTTTAAATTTTTTTGTCAAACTTCCTTACAGCAAACCGATCTAACTATGGGGATTGACGGGAGCGTACTAAACCGATCGCCGAGCCGCACACACCACACACAAGACCAAAGGCGCACAGGCAACTGCTCCCAGGCCAGAGCGCTGCCCACCCAGTCTACTACTTACTCGAGAAGACGGAACACGACTAATTATAGTATAAGTTTAAGTGATCCCAAAAGCATACGGCAGTGCCACGATTGTCTGCCCGAAGCAGTCGTTGGAGCCCGAGCTCCAACCCGAATGCCCTTCGGTTTCTCAGGCCGAAGTAGCTCACGTACACTATCCGTGTCGTCTGTGTGATCAGAGCATTTCTTTACGAGTGTGTCTGGGTGTGCGTGCGTGTGTCTGGGGCTGGAGGCATGGGAGGCGGAATCCATATGGAACGGATGGGATGACGACTATGTAGCAACACTAATCCGAACAGCTAACATAGTCGCTTTGGAATGAATGAAACTAGGCGATAATATACCCCCCTTTTCCCCTGCTCCCTTTTCACATTATTATTGCTGTTGTTGGGGCATCTGGCGATATGCGACTTAAGTTGCTCAATAAAGCATTGGCTTTGCACCGATTCTTCTACTTCTACTTCGCCTTCATATATTCGTACTTCCCTTGGAGCACCTTCTCCAGCTTAGGCTTTAGCATTGACTGATAGCCCACACACCCCAAGATCGAGAAAATGATTTCGTCCAAGTATTTCCTAGTTTTCGAGCACAGCTATGTTTTTGGATTTAAAAAATCCAATGTTGGCGATTGACAAAAATATTGGAATTCAAGTATATCTGTGCGAATATTGCTGGGAATATCGCTGATGCAGATGTGTACACTATATGTAGACGGTATAGAAAATTGAATCTGTATAATACAGTTCAGAATGGATCGTCAGTAACAAATTGGAAACAAAGGAACGCTGTCAGTCGCTTCTGTGAACGCGACTCTACTTTTATACCCGTACTCAGTCAGTATATAATCATGTGAGCTTATGATATATGTAGAATTTTAAAATATTTTCGTATTTTACATTTATTTCCTACATCTGCACATCTACAATGTAGATTCTACATCTTCTCCGCCAAAGGTCGCGCACTGCACAGGGCCGAGTGTGTGCGAGCGAGAAAGAGAAAAAGTAGCGTCTGCCGCGCAGAGAGGAGCGGGGTAAGCAACTGAAAATTAATTTTTTTATTCTGGCTATAATAATGATCCGATCTGTACCAATCTGATAGATCTCTACGATACTGCGTTTTCCGTTTTCTCGTATCTTCAAAGTTGTGACTGCCACAGATTGTGAAGGCGGAAAGGGACGTCGCAAAAATTTTGAAGCAAACTTTATTTAGTATGATATCACATGAGTCTGGAAACAAAATTTGGTTGGTCTAGCTCTTATAGTCTCTGAGAACTAGGCGTCGAACCAGACGGACAGACAGACAGACATAGCAATATCGACTCGGCTATTGATGCTGATCAAGAATATATATACTTTATGGGTCGGAAACATTTCCTTCTCTGCGTTGCACACATACACTTTTACCACAAATCTCATATACCCCTTAACTCTTTGAGTACGGGTATAAAAACTACCCCACAGAAATAAATATGTGGCTACCTTGCTTTTATTATGGTGCCAAACTCAAACCGAGTAAAATCTTTACCGATTATAATACCCCTGGAAACCTTTGCAGAGCGATCAGAGCGGTCAATATATCAATTAAGCAAATAATTGAAATTATTAAAAACAAAAAAAAATTACTAAGAGTTGTCGTTGCTCCGATTGTTCCGAAGGCAAATATCTCTTGTAAGTTCCATTTCTATGTTGTCAACCTCTGGGGATTAAAACATTTTTCTATATTCCAGATGACTCAACTATCTGATCGATAAATATGATTGATTTAGTAGTAGAAAATTAAAGATATATAATTTTATCTTAAAACTTGTACTAATATGAAAATTAAATTAAATTAAGTAGATATAAGTGACGATCATAGAAGTCATAATACAGAACACGGATATTATTGAACTTTTGGTCTCCGAAACCAAGGTGCTATAACGGAACATGACCTGCTCGACAAATGTTACTCAAAATGTACTCTATAGCTTGATTGATGATGTAACAACGACTGTCAATAAACAATATTGTTTACTCGGCGTCAAATATTGTGTGTGTTATTGTGTGTTATTTGAATTTGGCAATCCTTTCTAAACAAGCTATGCACTTATAGATTGTGGTTAAACCTACGCGATATTCTCCTTAGAATTCGGCTTATCCCAGGCAAGTGGGCTTCAGTTGCAGTACTAAATTGATTCCCTCAATTCTCAATAAAGCAAATCCTCGTATTTCCCAGTAAGCTAAAACCAATACCATAATCTAAATGGAGAAAGAATTTCCAGGTACGATTAGCATCTCGTCAACCAATCAACATTTAAAACTAAAAACTCATTTGATGATTGCAGAGAGTGCCAAGGCTGAAGCATTTTCATATGATAATCTCTTCGAAACTTCCTAGCCGGAGATCTATTAAGGCCAATAGGTCATATCCGACTTCCGTATACCCTAATACTCGACAGCTCTTGCCCAACCAAAGTCTGGCTAGATTAGGAGAATCGTATCAAGAGACATTTCAAAATGCTGTGACCCCAAAACCCAAAACCAAGTTGAAATTTCTAAATATTCTATTTTCGTAAAGCTGCTAAATCTGCGTATAAAAAATTTGAGAGGCGCTCCAGAGCTGGAGCTCCAGCTCCGGTCCCGGCCACAGCTCGGATCGAGTTGAGATTTTTCTAACAGGAAATACGCAGCCATATCCGTCTTATCAGCTTCCCATACCCATACCCACACCCCGGGCATATGTATGTACAAACTAAATGAAAAAGCCTTAACCTAATCACGAGAGGCGACAAGCAAACAGCAACGAAATGGAACCAAATGGGAAATGGAAATAGATTTTAGTAATACGAAATCTGGATGGACTGACTACGACTGTGAGTAAAAAGCATCTCGAAACTGTTCGGGGGCTGGCTCATTTCCTCATTTCAAGGCGGCAAAGTGCTAAATCCACATCCACCCGGGCCTGGCCTGGCCCTGGCCCGTGACTGCGACTACGACCGGAGAGTGCTTTGCCAACCATCCAACCGTCCATCCATTCATCCATCCATCCCCCAATACCAATGCACCATTCACTTACACCAGTGTGCGTAGTGCGAGAGCCGAGCGCCAACCGAACCGCGGCCGATCATCGTAAGCGAGTGGGGCCGCGAATTCGGATTTCTTCTGCGGGCCTCGTGTTTAGTAACACTTCGAACGCTTGACGATCTCCACATGTGGGGAGAGTGCTGTGCCCGACGATCGCAGCAGCAGCAAATCAGCGTTTTCTGTTAGTTCTGTTTCTGTTTCCCTATTTTCCCAAATCCAGCGAAATTTTCATATGGGAGTTCACGTTAATATCGACTTTTGTTCGGTTCCACAAAAATGTTAATTAAACATCCAAATTCTTAATGCTTATTTCGTTCGCAGTTTCGTGTGTGTGTTTGAGATAGAGAGACCGAAGTACAGAGAGAGATTGCAAGAGTGAGACATATATAGTTTGTGCGTAGGACCAAAGGACCCATCGAAGATGTTACCCAGAGATCTAAGGCATCTCTCGGGTTTGCTAGGAGCGGTGTATCTGCTGGCTGGCCTTGTGTCCTTTGTGGAGGCGGCAAAGGTAAGTGACAACCCAAGAATACATCAAGTATTCGTCAATTACTCGAAATAATTGTTTTAAAACGTTTTAAGAACAGTTTGAATAAGATCCGAAAATGGGGTTTCAAATAAAAAATCTTCATTTACAGCGCAGATTAAACTTGAAACAGTTTTGTATTCACTTAACAGATTCGAGTCGAAGTGTTTCTAAAACTGTAAACATACACATCGCCAATGCTTATCAAACCAATACAGAATCGGGAAATATATATACAGTGATTGTAAAACTGTGCGATTAGGAGCAACCAAACTTAATCATCCATAAGCGAGAAAATTGGGTCAATTATTCTCTTAATCACTCTGCGGCTACTGTTATTGTTATTATTTACTTGTAACCATTGCACTCTACTCTCCGAGACGGCTTCCCCCCCCAGACCATACTCGTACATTTCCGGCAGTCAGATCGTGCAACTCTTTCCCTTCTGCAGATAAGTCAGAAAAGGCGATCCAGTCTCTGGGTCTGGGGTTTAATAGAGTCCATCCACAATCGGGCATGGATTATGTCATCCATTTATTTATTATTTTTTTGGCAAAATAGTATGGGGTGGAAGGTTATCGAGAGCACACGTTGATAACCCCCCGTAATCTAAGCTCGATTTTTGGCATAGCTAAATAGGATTTGCCATTGAACATTTCCGGTTGGCAATTAAAGTTTTATTTGAGTTTCGATTGATATAGAAATTTAATGAAAACGGGATTAAATGTGGAGCGGAAAGGGTGTTACTGCTGCACTTTTTGCCACTTAAAGTGGCTACACTTTAAGGCCTATACAAATGTATGAATAATCATCAATAATTGGACTAACTACATTTTTAACTCGTCAAAAATTTTAACAAACCAAAGCAGCTCCCAGAAATATGCAACATTTTCTATATATACAATTTTAACCACTTATGTACATGCAGGATTTAGGCCGTTAAACAGACATTATAAATAGAAAATGGAAATGGAAAACGGAAATTGATAATCATTCAGCTAGTAATTAATTATAAAAGAATTGCTTCCGTTTTCTTTTCGGACACTTTGCGTTGATAAACTGAATGATCTGCGTGGTTTAGTGGATGATCGCACATATTTCGTGATGAGAACAGAAGTGGAGCACATGCCACAAAGCCGGCGCCTTCTTCCGATGGCATTCAAACCTTATCAAGCTTCGACTGGACTCGGCCGCTGCCCGCCGATCTACAAATTTAATTAGAAATATTGCTATGTTGCCGACATTGACGCCATTGATAGCATGCTCCGTTGATTGCGACATGAATCGAAATCTAGAGTCGAATTCAGAAAATAGAACTAAAGCAATTGTCGCCAACACAGCCATAGCCACAGGCACTAACACAGGCACAGCCACAGGCGCAGCCAAAGGCGCAGCCAAAGGCTATCGGCTGGGCCTGACTTTTGCCCAGTCCCCAAGTAGCCATTATAAATAAATACATGTGTACATATTAGGTGTACCTATCAAGATTCCAACAGTTTCTGTGTCGCGTTTTTCACTCGATTTGAAAATAAAGGGTTTTGTCTTCTGCGCTCACGTGTTTGCTCCCGTAATGGGTTCAGTGCAGCTCGTTTGACAACTCCAGTAATTTGATTCGCACTTCTCTTCGCACTCGGTTACGTGGTCAATGCCATGGGCTCCAGCTGCAGCCCCAGCTCCCTTCCCGTACCGGGTGAGAGCGTCAAAGTCTTGTGGGTTAGAGCTGGAGCTGGATCTGAAGCTTAACCGCAAAACGCTAAGCAAAAACTTGATTTTATGTGCTACTGTCGCTCGAGTTACTCTTACGAAAAAGGGCATACGATCACTGTAATAAGGTTTAATCTAACAAAAAACTGTGAACCCCCTGTTTTAAATAATATTCAGATAATCGCACACGTTGAATGAAACGTGTGAAAGTTTGAACATTTTTCTATCTGTTCAGCGATTTGTTATTGTTTGCTCAAATTGAAAAAGCCCGAACTGTCGGACAAATATTCTTAAAATTACAGAGATCTTTATTACAGGAGTAATTAGTTAATTACTTAATAACAATTAATCCTCAATGGAAGCACACTTTGTCTGAGAGTGCTTAACTTTCAGTTGAAGCCATGGCAAAACATTCAAATATAGTTAGCCACATTAGAGCAGAGACTCTAAAACTGTCCAGCCAATCGGATTCGCATGCGTTGCCGGTACATTGCACAGCCATTTCCTTTTCCGCTGGGTTCGCTCTTCGCTGGCACTGCAGCAGCAGCCAAAGAGATCCAACCGATTTAAGAGAAGCAAGCCGCAAGCAATAAGGGAGCGCACTGCAAGATGTATTTATACAAGGTAAGGTCGCTCTCTTTTTTCACTGTCGCTTACACCCAAAAAACAGCAAGTGAAACCATATCCGAGTCCATCTCGAGAGCGCTCTCTGGGAGGGGCTCACCTTTTGAGTATCAGCACAGTTTGTGCCTGCACACATGCACATATGATGTCGGTTCACACTTGCGATACGAACTGTGACTGTGGCGTCGACTGAAGCGGAGGCTGAGGCATATTCTATGAATGGATTTTGATAATTTGCCTTTATCAGCGACGGCTGCGTGCCGTTCCCTGGGCTCGCCTCTTATTCCCTGTGGGCTCCGACATATACTTCAATAGCAGGGCAGCAGCTCTTTCTATGTATGTACATATGTATGTGCAGTATATGGAAATTTTATTGCCGTCTGTCGGGGCGTGTGAGTGTGCTGTTCGATTCCGTTGCTGACAATTAGCTGCAGTTCAAGTGATCGGTGAAGGGTTCTTAGTGCCGAACAGGGCGGCAATCGTTTGACGTTCTGCAACATTTCCAGTTGGAATTGAACGTTTTCGTTGTTTGTTGATGCTTCTGTCTTTGCATCTACCCCCCTCTCTCTTTCCTATTCAACTGCTTCCCATTCATTCCATGGCACGGCTTTAGTTTCAAATTATTTCGAGATTTGTTTATCCCCGGTATGGGGATGTGAGGAATCTGGCGGTCTGGGGATCTGGGCATCTGACCCTTCGTCGCTGCATAAATCACTGACCAGCGCAGACAGAGCGGGGCCAGTGGCCAGTGCATGTAGACCGCCCAAGAGACCCAACAATGAGACTGCCTCTTCATCGGCGGTCTCTCCTTCTCCTCCTTTTTCTAGATCATCTCATTTTTACGCTCTTTTGTAAATGGAAGTTTATTTGCGTGCTTGAGCGGAATTGTTTGGCGAGTTGCATTTCAATTTGACTCAATTATTTATTTATCTGCAACTGAATGCGGAAATTATGCGAAGACTCTATTTGAATGTGGGTGTGTGTGTGTGTGTGAGATATGAGCTGCTTGCTATACCCTTTCAGAAGGTATATTGATGCTTAAAAGTTTTCTCAACGGAACTGTGCGGATACTATTGTTTTTATCAAATGGGATGATCAAATCCCAATCCTGGGCCCAGAATATTAAGACAAAATTTGATCAAAATGGAACTACATATGTATATCATTTAGCTGGCATGCTTGCGATCTCTGCAAGGGTATCCAAACAAGCAGCCGCTTTTGACAGTCGCCTGTTTCTTGTTGTATGAACGCTACTTATAAGACTAGGAAGATGGTAGTTGTGGTGCAGGGAAGATAGATGGACTGGCCACTTAGTAGCTGTAAATTGAAATGATTATTTATGGGAGGAGAGATCTCAGAAAATTGGGTTATCAGTCATCTGTCTCATCACAGCAGCCCGTTGTTCTTCTTTTGCCCGTTATCAGCTCTCCCTCCGGCTTATGGAATTGATATTCATCAGACTAGATGAATTCTACATGCATATGTATGTATGTGCATATGAGTATACTGGTCTACACATACATATGTACTCGTAGCTTACTCGTGTATATAGCAATTTCTGTCCGCGACTGTGATTCCGTTTCAAACACCAAACATCTAGCGTCATGGCTAAAAATAAATATTCCTTAATTTGCCGAGCGACACTCGCCGTTAACTTTGCACGGCTTTTTGCACAGTTTGGTGTTGATTGCCTGAATTATTGGCATAGAATTGAAGAAATAAGCAAAGGGGTTAACGATGTGCAGACGGCACACATGCAACAGTTTGGTGCTTTGATTGGGAATCAAATGTATCGGAAATATTCTGTTAAAGTCTTTTTATTAATCATAGTTTATGGGTTTGATGGTCCGATGTAGATAAGATACCTGGAAGAAGTTCAAACCGTGAGGACATCCCTATACAAATCCATTTGGATAGGTGGACACGCAGTACTGAAGACAGATAGACAGACAGGTGCAAAGTTCACTCAATGTAATCAGCTAGTGCTTCCTTATTGCCATTACATATATTGTGAATATTCAGTTTTGACAGCTCGCTGTCCATCAATTTCAATGTTAATTTGAGTGCACGGCAATTAGTTATCATCTGTCAGGCGTTTGTCCAAACAATTATGCGCAATGATGCCATAACCGTGCACTCAAATTGCCAACTACTGCCCTGACCCGACTCTGTTCCGTCCCTCTGCGAGCGGAGTGCGTGGGTGTTCTCCACATCCACATGCACAGATCCACAGATCCCCACAGGCATATTTCGTACACATATGTATATGATATATCCATGTGCATGTGCATGTGCATGTGCAGATTTCTTGACTTGACGCTTCGTCTTGTTGTTTATGATGTTAAAAGGAAGGAAAATGATGTCATGCTGCAAGTGCGCTTGTCCAGATGTGCATTCATTATGCTCTCTGTGTTCTGTATCTGCGTGACTGTGTGTCTGTGTTTGTGGGGGCATGCTTTTTCATGTCAATCACACGCTGCTCATATGTTGCTCCATTTACTCGTACAATTTTTATATTGCTACCCTGTATTTATGATCTGAAATGGGTTTCCTGTGTGCGTCTGGACACTCATGCTGATGAATCTTCGACTGATTTGATGACAAAATGTAATACTTTGTGGGGAATGAAAAATGGGGTTTCTTGATTGTACGTCCTGACTGTTAGTCAGACTCTTATCATTAATTTCCCAGTATGTAAGCAGTTCCTAAAATGAGGTCACGCAACAAGTTCGAGATTTAAATGAAGTTTTAAGCTAATAGGAGACTGTTCATCATCGAAATCTAACTACTAATCGGATTTAACCTAGAGCTGGTGTTATTTAATCATTCTTTGAACATTAAAAAACCCCTTCTGCTAATTTTCGGCTGTAAATGTTGAACCAAGTCAAGGTCTTACACGGAACTTTCAGGTCGACCACCTCCTCAACTCCCCTGCATTCATTGTTGTATGCCGTTTTTCCAAACGTTTATGATGCACATTTTCCTCTGATTTGTTTGCTGTTATTGTTTTTGCTTCAAGTTCTCACTCTATTTCGTGATGCACATTAAAAAAATGCTGCTCTGCTGTTGATTGATGGCGCGTGTTGTGGGGCTTGGCAGAAATGGTGAATTGGGTCAATTGTGACGCGCATCGAACAGCAGCAGGATCGAGAATCCGTTCCCAGTCTCCACCATATCTAAGTCTTTCTGTCGCTGTCGCTGTCGACTTTCTCCATGGCAACAAAGAACCCATTGATTGATGTCCGTCTCCAAGAGATAACCCCTTTGTCCGCTGCGTGGAATTCGAAATGGCAGCATAAGGAAATCAAAGTATACGAATATATAAAATATAATTTAATGCCAAATTATAACGTATTAATTAAGAGGAGCCGCTTGTCGCGGACTCAAGAATCTGTTCAGGCTTATCATCACTGATTTATACATGAGCATGCTCGACGCACATATGTACTATCTATATACATATGTACATATACTATAAGATGACATTCTTCTCATTATTATTACGAGTATGTTTAATTTTTTGTTTTTTATTGTATGCCACATCCGGGCAGGGCAGGCCACCAAGTTTGAGTGTGGCAAAGCGCAGATTATCGGACAGAGTCGAGTCCCTCCCTCGGACTCGTTCTCTGTGCTCTGTAGTTTTGTGCCACTCTCAGTCATTTCGCTGCGCTTTGCATTCCCTGAATAATTGCAGTTTAAGATTTTTTAGGTATCGCTTACAGTTCAACGGAAACACAAAAAGTTTCCACCCGAGGACTGTCATTAGATACTCGTACTCAGGACACCATACCCGTACTGGCTGTCGGGCCAATGGACTCGTACTGGTGGTTGTTCCACTCTTTACCTCTTTACCGCCTTACTCGTATGCTCTATGCCTATATCTGTCACTGCTTTCAGCGATTAGCGTGGGTGGGTGTGCCCAATTGTCGCGTACATATGCCAGATGATCTATGTGCATGGAGATGGTTATGGGGATATGGATATGGATCTGTGTGGAGGCCCCGGGTTGACCTTAAACTATGCATTCTCATTCGCATTCGCATCTAATGCACAACTGTGTCTCGGTCTCCAGCTCGGCTCGGCTCGTGAATATCGGCAACTGGGACAATTGGCTTAAACATGTGTAAATGCGCTTAAGTGCGCGCCACTGACACACATCTGCCGTGACTTAGCCTCTGCCTCTATATGGGTTCGGGTATAACCTAAGCATAGCCAGACAGATTTTCGTGCTGCAAGCTGTGGCAGGTACAGTGGCGCAACAGGTAGCTTTCGAAAGGGTGCACAAGGTGCAGATGAATGTGGATAGTGCATTTTTGAGCATTGCACCCAACGAATCCTATTAGGTATTGCTTAAAATAATTTCACTTCCGAAGCTACAATTTGAATAATATATTTTATTCAGTCAAAGACTTTAAAAGTCCTATCCAAATATGATATGGACAGAGGCTACGGATACCCAACACCTGCCCGACTTCTTTTCCACTGACACGCGTGCCCATTGAGGTATTTTATTTACATATCTCAGGGAGTATCTCAGGGAAAATATTCCCAGCTCGGGCCCTTGGCCACTGCCACTGCCACTGTCTCCTTTGCTGACGTCGGCGGAATCGAGCGTCTGTGTATATGTAATTTGTAGTATATGCATAAAGAATATGTTGGGGGCAATCAAAGTGTTCTCCCAGCAATCGGCGCCGCACCCTTCCCCAAGTTGAGTGCCAGTGTCTCCTCAGACCTGGTTACTCGACGACGCCACTTAGGTGGTGCGTTGTCTGGTCTGGGCTATGGCTGTGGCTGTGCTATCCAAAAAATACAAGCAAACTCGTAAATGCATAATACTCGTACCCATATAGATGGGGATATGTACGATACAGACAGACATACAATACATATGTACATATATCTGTGTTGCCTTGCCGAGTGTCAAGTTCAAGGAAATTGCAGTGCTGTCACTTTTAAGCGTGTTACCGCAACAATTTTCATTAGCTTTATTTTATGCATGCATTTATCTGTATCTTCATATGAGCCCACATATGTACACACACACTCGTAGGTATGTACATATGTATGTCTTAAAAGAATTCCTTAAATTTCAGATGTTGCAATTGATTGAATGAAATTCGAAGGTGTCTCCTTTGGTTTTATTCGATTTTACTTGGTTTCTTTTGTCATTTCAATTGAAGGAATGTGTGAAACAAAAGACTTGAATGAAATTAAGAACTCCAATAATTTATTTTTATGTTAAACTTGAATAAAATGCTAATCAAAGCAAAAGGCTTCTTTAACTGTTGTATTTTCACAGCATAAGATAGTAATAGGTAATAGATACAATCGGTCTTATCATAGAATAAGACTTGGCGTCACGTCAATGTTTTTATTTTAATTCAAACTCTATACTCTACTCTATTCTTAATCGTGACAGTTTCTTCTTTGGAACTTTGAAGCTGATTCAGAGCAATGGGTAATTCTCACAGTTGGATTTCCAGAAATTGAGTGCAATTGTTGCGGGCAGCACACACCCCAGACACGATTTGGATTTGTCTGTGCACCTGCAGATGCATTTGGGGGAGTGGGAGTAGTATTGGGGTTTTATTTTCGTGCACAGCGTATCTGCATTTTCTCGGATTTTTCATTTGTTCGTTCGCTCGAAAGAACAACATCTTTTGGTTTACCACATTGAGTAGGATTTTTTTTATTTTCGATTTTTTCGCTTGTTGTTTACGCCTTGCGTTCTTGTTTTTTTCGGATTTCGACTTGGTGATGGGAATATTTAGTTAACAGATGGTTTGATCTCCTGCGAGCAGGTTCTGGGGCTCTGGTTCTAGTTCTGGGAACTGGCGTGGAGGATGTCGCTCCCTCTCGCCGGGGCTTTGAACTTTCGGATTGGATTCGTTTACAGCTGGAATGGAATCTCTACGTCTATTAGTCATCTAAACAATTTCTCGGGTTTTATGTATGTAAATCATAATTTTCTTTGCCAAACATTTGACACAAATTTTTCCAGGCAACAAACAATTTAAGACACATTTTCGTACGCGTATGCAAAAAGAGAAAATCCGAAAAAAATACCGCAAAACATGCGTGCAACATGTGTGCATTTCTAAAAGTTTTGGATGGGGGACTGGCAGAATAAAAGAGAATTTCAGATGAATGAAGGCGGCAATAAATTTTGATTTTTAACCAAATGAAATTATGTCAATTCTATTAATACAATGGAAACTAAGGATGTTTATACTGACATCAACGCAATGAGGAAGCCAAATATTCATATATTGCGGCTGGCTGGAAGGTGTTTCGCTTCAACCTACCTCAAAATCGGATTTCAAAGTGGATTTCGCAAATCTGAAGCATTCCAGATAGGTGTTTTTTTTTTTTTTACCAAAACTGCAGCGTTCTTTAGCTGTTTATAAATAAAATGCACCTTAAGTGGGTTAAAAGTACGATGCATCTGGAGGAGAAGTCTCCTCCAGCCTGCCTCCTCCTCTAGCACCTGCTACAGTGCGGGCTCCAGTGAGCGTGAACTATGCACTTGCTCAATTGACTATGTACATGCATACATAGAAGATTATCTCATTGCAAGCGGAAATACTACAATTAAGGCTGAGAGTGGAACACTTCGCAGTTGCACCCGCATTTTTCCAATGGTTTTAATTATTTTCGCTATTTATTTTGATAATTCGCGAGAGATACTTTCTTTCCCCCTAATAATAAACCCGTAATATTCAAGAAGTCATCCTGAAAAGCCAACGGCAATGTGATTCATGCAGATTCCGAGATGGTTAAAGAGTTTTTATAAAAGACGAAGGAGTAACTAAATGACTTTTCAAATCCACCTAAATAATTTTTAACCGTGTAAAGCATGCGATTTGTTCTTAAGCAAGAACGAAAATTCTTTAATAAAAAATCGAAGAATTAAAATATTTGTATTCTCATCAGGGATCAGAATAGCTATGTAATAGGATATTCCTTTAGAATTGTGTATTATAATATAATCCGCTGTTGATTATAGATTAGATTATAGCCTTTAAATTATAAAAACAAACTGAAGATCGACAACCTATCAACGAAAAACTCTGGAACAACATAATTTGAAATTCTGTTGGAATTCGTTGGACACCCCAAATAACGCCATAACGCAATAACGATATTTTCTAATAGATTTTCAGTGGGATCATTATGGCATATACTGAGTTATAGTATATAGTTTCTACCAACGGATATTTGATCTGTGCGGGTATTACTTTATCTTCTAGTAGTGTCAACTGTAACTGCTAGTTAGGCATTTGTTAAATTTTCCCACTCTCAAATAGCGATCTCGTAAGGATCTCGTGCTCATACCGAATGTTCATGCTGATTAAGAATATATTGGCTGTGACATCTGCTGTGTCCAATAGAGAGCATAATATTAATGATATTGGAAAAGTGTCTGAGCAATGAACTAGAAAGACTTGTCATAACGATAGCGAATGAATTGATGCTGACATCTTCGATTCCGCAAATCAAAACTTCTAATCAGAGACAATCAAGACTCGTTCTCGAATTATTCAAACCCAATTCGAGTCGTCTCTCAATGCCAACTGATGGACTCTACGATTCGCTTATTATCAATTTCAGGAATGCAATACAACGCTGTGTGACTGCAAGGGCATCAAGGGACGCATAGGTGCCATTGGACCGGCAGGTGTGCCCGGTATGGAGGGCCCGCCAGGAGACACGGGACCGTTTGGACCGGCCGGACCACTTGGAGAGAAGGGTGATGTGGGCGAGTATGGCGAAATCGGCGAGAAGGGACATCGGGTGAGAGTCTTTGATAGCTTTTATTCCACTCCCCCCCTCCCCGAACCGAATAAATATTGACAAATTTGAAAATATAGGGAGACGCTGGGCAACACGGCCAAACAGGCTACCCAGGAGCAAGGGTAAGTGTAATTCAATGGTTGGATGATGGGAGCATGAAAGAGTATTCGGCACACCTTTAGGGTCCCCATGGCGAACATGGCACGACAGGACCGCGCGGCATTGACGGCTGCGACGGTCGCCCGGGCCAGCAGGGCATTGCCGGACCACCAGGAGACAACGGCCAGCGTGGACCCATGGGTAAGCAGGGCGTTAATGGTGCACGCGGTGACGCTGGCGAAGGTGGCATCAACTCTAAAGGCACAAAGGGCAGTCGCGGCGAGAAGGGACTGGATGGATATAACGGCCCGGCCGGTTTCGATGGCGATCGCGGCCAGAAGGGAGACACGGGCTTCGCTGGCATAACGGGCGCGAAGGGAGACCAGGGACCCGAGGGACTCAAGGGTGAGACGGGCGAGCCATCGGACCTGCCCTACACGCTGCAGGGCCTTCCCGGCCTGAAGGGTGAGCCTGGCGAGGGTGAGCCCGGCGCCTTGATCTACGACGACTCACTGAAGGGCTATAAGGGATACATTGGTGAGACCGGTGATGCGGGTCCGAAAGGACCCTCTGGAGAACAAGGACTGTACGGACGCGCTGGTCTGCCCGGTGGCAGAGGCGACACCGGTGAGCCCGGAGAACGTGGCAAGCCCGGAAAGGATGGCGAAGCAGGAGTTCCCGGCGAAAAGGGAGCTAAAGGTGCTCCCGGGTACAACGGTGAGGACGGAGTCGACGGCCCCAAAGGACAAGTGGGTGAGGAAGGCTTCGACGGCATGCCTGGTATGCAAGGACCCCCCGGACCGCCCGGAGTCTACGACCCCAGCTTAAGTCAGTCCTTGCCCGGACCAATTGGCCCTCAGGGTGACATCGGACCTGTTGGCAACCCTGGTCTAAATGGAGTTCCCGGCAAGCCGGGTCGTCGTGGTGCCCCTGGCCCATCCGGATCGCCCGGAGAGCAGGGTTTGAATGGCAACCGAGGACCGCCCGGCCGCAGCGTCAAGGGCGAAGAAGGTGACTACGGATTCATAGGACCTCCGGGGCCGCAGGGACCAGCTGGCGAGGCTGGTCCTCCCGGCCGTATTGGCGTCCGTGGTGATCCAGGCTTCAGCATTCAGGGCCCCAAAGGTCAGGCCGGACTCAATGGTCTGCCCGGAGGCGATGGATATCGCGGCGAACGCGGCGAGGTAGGACTGCCCGGTGACAAGGGCTTGCCCGGAGTTGGCTACAACATTGTCGGACCTTCCGGCTCCCGGGGACCACCCGGAGTACGCGGTCGTCCAGGCGATGACGGTCTTGCCGGTTTCCGCGGATGGATCGGCGACAAGGGCATACGTGGCGATGACTGCGGCATCTGTCATGCCGGACCACGTGGGCCCCGAGGCCACGAGGGCGACACTGGATACTCTGGCCAGCATGGAGATCGAGGCTTAATCGGTAGAACTGGCGCCCGCGGACCCCAGGGCGTCCAGGGAAGACCAGGAAAACCAGGATTCAAGGGTATTCGCGGCACGCAAGGCAGTCCCGGAGAGCCCGGCATGCCAGGCAGGCCTGGTCCTGACGGCCTGATCACAGAAATCGGTAGTCGGAGGGAAGCCGAGCGTGGTGACGATGGCGATTACGGTCGCCGCGGCGATCAGGGATTGGAAGGCGACAAGGGTCTGCCCGGCTTCCATGGCGCTCCTGGCGCTCGAGGCGAGCCCGGACAACGCGGTGACTACGGTGATGCTGGAATTTCTGGAGCAGATGGACGGCCCGGTCGTCCTGGCAGAAATGGAAAGCCTGGCCTTCAGCCCAACACCCCAAAGATATACCTGGTCGGAGAGCCCGGCTACAATGGACGCCGTGGAGATCGGGGCGATGAGGGCAGCCGCGGTCTGAAGGGTGACAAGGGTGAGCCCCATCCCGGTGAGATCTACGATAACAGAGGCGAACGTGGAGAGCTTGGCGAGCCCGGCCTTCCCGGTTTCCGTGGACCAAAAGGCGAGATGGGGGAACCGGGCTTGGATGGAGATGTCGGAGACATTGGACCGGCTGGTGACACCATTAGGGGAGAGATTGGAGCCAAGGGTTATCCCGGCATACCGGGTGACTATGGACTCCATGGAGCTCCAGGTCTGCCTGGGCTTGATGGTGAGCCTGGCACTGACGGTGTGGTCGGCTACAAGGGACAGCGCGGAGAGCCTGGCCCGTATATTCTACCCGGTGACATCGGCATACCTGGACGGACCGGCATCGACGGGTTACCCGGTGACGATGGCCCGCATGGAGCTTTCGGACCCCCCGGCATAAGTGGACGCAAAGGAGCTAAGGGTGAAATGGGCCCGGAGGGAGCTACCGGATTCACAGGACTTCCCGGAAACAAGGGCCAGCGTGGTGACTACGTAGTCGGTCCGATTGGACCCAAAGGTAATCCTGGTAGTCCCGGTCGGCAGGCAGCGCACGGCGTCAAAGGACAAAAGGGCGAGGTTGGCTTCTCTGGACTCAATGGGCATAATGGAGCCAAGGGCAACATTGGCTTCTCCGGCAACCGCGGTGCCCTCGGCAATCCCGGACCCCAAGGCTTTCCCGGTAGTGTGGGAATTGGCGGACTACCGGGCATGACTGGCGACATCGGAGATCGCGGCGATATCGGCTTCGATGGACGTCCTGGCGACATTGGCCCTCGTGGATCCGTTGGAGACATGGGGCTGAAAGGTGAGTTCGCCTTGGACACTAGCTTACAAACTCGGCGCCTTTAACATTGCTTCTTTTTAGGTGTTACTGGTGACGAGGGAAAGTTCGGCTATCCTGGAGCTAGCGGCTTAACGGGCCGCAAGGGAGAACAGGGCGACCGCGGCTTCCCCGGAAGGCAGGGTGCCAAGGGTGTGGCCTCCTACAGCGGCATTAAGGGCGACGGAGGAGAACCCGGTTGGACCGGACCACCTGGTTACAAGGGTGCCGCCGGCTTGAAGGGAGTGCGAGGAGCTATCGGCGACTCTCCCATTGCCGTCGATGGAAGCCTGGGTCGTAAGGGTGAAGCTGGCAATCCAGGATACAACGGACTGCCTGGTCTACATGGAATGAAAGGTGTTCGCGGCGATCGCGGCAATAGCGGATTGCCAGGTCTGCAAGGAGAAGACGGCGAAAGGGGTTTTCCCGGCTACCGTGGTCAGAATGGAGCTCCCGGCCTCAAGGGATTGGTTGGAGAAAGAGGTCCCTCTGGTACTCTGGGCTTACAAGGAGAGAAGGGCGACGACGGCTACCCCGGCCAAATGGGACAGATCGGAGACCAAGGCCGTCAGGGTGAGCCGGGCTTTATTGGACCACAGGGACAGATTGGAGACGAAGGTGAGGAGGGATATCCCGGACGAGTCGAGGGTTTGGGCGACCGCTACCTATACCGTGGCTTCCCCGGAGCGCGTGGTGCACAAGGCGAGCAGGGACAGAAAGGTGAACGAGGTCTGATTGGATATCAGGGCGTCCAAGGGGCCAAGGGCTTGGTGGGCGACATCGGTCTGGCTGGCCTGTCCGGACAAGATGGCCGACCCGGAGCCAGTGGTCTGCCAGGTGACAAGGGTCTGAGAGGTCCACAGGGGTTGGCCCTTACAGCGGAACGCGGTGAGGACGGCGTCATGGGATACGATGGATTGGCTGGACGTCCCGGCCGTAGGGGTCAGAAGGGAGCACCCGGCGAGCAGGGCGAGTATGGCCTGAACGGCGAAATTGGACACCGTGGCCCCCAAATTCAGGGCCCTCCCGGTGCTCAAGGTGATGTCGGCTACCCAGGAGCTCCAGGACGCAATGGTCAGTACGGCCAGATCGGTGAGAAGGGCGAGCGCGGCAATCAGGGACGTCAGGGAAATGTTGGCGAGCCTGGATTCGCCATTTATGGCCGTCAAGGTGACATCGGTGACGTGGGCTTCCAGGGAGCGCCCGGCCGTGATGGCTCCAAGGGAGAGAGAGGCTTCCAGGGCCGTCCTGGCCGCTACGGAGCTGCGGGTGCCCCCGGACCACGTGGCCAAACAGGCGATGCTGGCTGGAGTGGCATTGACGGAATGGACGGTCTCTTCGGCAGGAAGGGTGAACCGGGCGACACCTACTCCTACGTCCATGCCCAGAAAGGAGATCGTGGCGAGCCCGGTCTGGATGGCTTCAAGGGTGAGCAGGGAGATAAGGGCCGTCAAGGTCTAGAGGGTGCCTTCGGCCAGCAAGGTATGGCCGGCTATCATGGTGACCAGGGTGAGATGGGCTATACCGGAGCCGATGGATCTCCGGGACCGCGTGGCGACATCGGTGAGATTGGCCTGACTGGACGTGTTGGACTCCGTGGTCAACCGGGTCCCCCTGGTGACCCAGCTCCTCCGCCACCGAAGCCCAAGAGCCGCGGCTTCATATTCACGCGTCATTCGCAATCGGTGGTAGTTCCCCGGTGCCCGGCAAACACTAACATGCTGTGGGAGGGCTACTCCTTGTCTGGCAACGTGGCCGCCAGCCGGGCCGTCGGCCAGGACTTGGGTCAGTCGGGATCCTGCCTGATGCGCTTCACCACCATGCCCTACATGCTCTGCGACCTGAACAATGTCTGCAACTATGCCCAGAACAACGACGACAGCCTCTGGCTGTCCACTGCCGAGCAGATGCCCATGACCATGACGCCCATTCAGTCCAGGGATCTCATGAAGTACATCTCCCGGTAAGTGGCGATCTACCCTCGAGCTTACCCAAGGCTTACCCCATTAACTGCTCTTCCGCTGTAGATGCGTGGTGTGCGAGACATCGACCAGGATCATTGCCATGCACTCTCAATCCATGTCTATTCCGAACTGCCCTGGCGGCTGGGAGGAAATGTGGACCGGTTTCAGTTACTATATGGTAGGTTGCCTTTCTGATTCAATTAGGGGGAGTGGAATGCATCGCTTGAATGTCCCTTTTGCAGACCACCATGGACAACACTGGAGGCATTGGCCAGAACCTGGTGTCACCTGGCTCCTGTTTGGAGGAGTTCCGCTCCAATCCTGTCATTGAGTGCCATGGACATGGACGCTGCAACTACTACGATGCTCTGGCCTCCTTCTGGATGGCGGTCATCGAGGAGCAGGACCAGTTTACCCAGCCACGTCAGCTGACCCTTAAGTCGGATCCGACCAGCAAGATTAGCAGGTGAGTTCCAGTGGACTCAAGTATTGATTAGATATTCATACATATTACCAAATTTGACTCATTCCAGGTGCACGGTCTGCCGTCGTCGTAGCGATAGCTACGTGACCCGAACGACAACCACCTCGTCTTCGTCATCTGGCTCGTCAGGAGCATCGCGATCGGGATGGGGTTCCGGTTCAGGAACTGGCTCTGGCTCAGGATGGGCCACCGGATCGAGATCTGGAACTGGCTCTGGCTCAGGCTCAGGATGGGCCACCGGATCAGGATCTGGAACTGGCTCTGGCGCAGGATGGGCCACCGGATCGAGATCTGGAACTGGCTCCGGCTCTGGCTCAGGATGGTCCACCGAATCGGGATCTGGACCTGGTACTGGATTTAGATCGAGTTCAGGCTCATCGTGGGGATCCCCGACTAGCTGGTCAGGTGGTCCAACAGCACCCGATCGGTCTGCACCAATCCCACAACAGCCAGTGCCGCCACCGGCCAACCTCTACAACGTGAGGTACAACAACCGTCGCCCGAACAACAATCAACAGCAAAGCTTCAGCAACCAGTACGCCCAGCACGGGAATCCCCGACAGTACCGTCGGCGTCCGCGTGAGGACACTACCGCTCCCTAGAAGCCAGGCCGCAGTTCGAGAACAGTTTACGCACTAAGTAGCAGTTAAATTTCGTTTTAAGTCTATTGCTATCAATCCGATGCTTCTGTTAATCAACCAACCACGAGCAGTGCCATCTTTTGTCGAGTATCCTCTGAGGAGTTGTGTAATCTAATTACGTGGACAAACCATAATAATATACCAAGTACCAAACGAAACAACCAAAAACCAACCAAAAAAAGGGAAGAGAAGAGAAGATAATTTCCACTGCCCCTAGACTTGCCATTAAATGATCCATCTGCACACATTGCAGCAAATATTGTAACAATAACAAAAACCAAAAACAAAACCCAGTTTTTTGATAAATAAAATTTACACAACATAAAACCAATGCAAACAAAATGTTTGAAACACAACACCCAAAAAGCTTACAAATCTACTTTGTGGGGTCGGAAACGCTGCGCAAAACAAAAACATATATCCCTAAACTCTTTTAGTGTGGGTATAGAAAAAGGTCCTTTCTTTTATTTCAGAATTCAGATCAGAACACTGATTTGGCAAGCACCCACTCTTAGGAAAGATACTTCCTGTCTCACGATCTTCGATTCAGAAGAGAGACTCTATGCCACCTCAGTTTCTCACAATTTGAATTTAATAGTTGATAAAATGTCCTCGCTATTCACAACAGATTGTTAGTCAAATAACCATTCCTTTATTCCTATTATTTTCAAATGTGCAGCTATCACATTATAAAAGGTGTATGAGATGGAAGAAAGAGTAAAACGAACCGACACTCTGGCGAGCTCAATCAGAGCATAGCTAGAGGTGCTCACAAAATATCTTCTTATCACTCTGCACGCTACAGTATTAGATGTTGTTTATTCAAACGTACCTTTTCAGAAGCATTCTCCTGTGGTGGTTTTCAATCCGGGCAGGGTATAAAAACACAACTCACTATTTTTTGGTTTGAATCTGTCGAGTGTATTTCTGTATTACAATTTGAAAAAGATTTTACATCTCCGCAAGCACATACATATGAAACTATGTTTGCTCCCCCCATTAACAAGTAATGATACACATTTTCATAAGGACTATAAACAAGGTACATACTACTTTTCACATACGTTTCGTCAATATGTACCCCGGACCCGACCCGGCTGTGGTGTGTGCTGTCAAATCATTGATCTGTCTCACAACAAAATAAGTGGCTACAAACACACGCACGATAATCAATTGAACGGAAAACCGTCGAAGGGAACGACAGAGTTAAAGGAATAGTACATAGGTTTACGTTAAGGTGAAACAAAGATATAACTATTTATGTTAAATTAAGACAGGAGCCTTAGTTTAGAGTAGAGTCAGATCAAAAATTTGACACGCTCGTTCACTATTTTTGATGTAGTTTTACCCCTGTCCCTGCGCTGAAGAGGCTCCTATTATTTAACAAAGTCAGGATTCTCCTGAACTTTCTCGGTGAACTGCAGCTGGTTGTCGATGATTTGGAAAAGCACCTCGGGGGCTGGAAAACGTCCCGTCTGAATTTTCGACCACACCGGCACATCGTTCAGCGTTATCTCGAAGGCACCCGATGAAACGAGCTGTCCCTCCAGCATGTTGCCCAGAAAGAATATCATCATACAGGCGTATATTTTATTCGCCTGCAGGTGGCCCCACCAGCTGGGCGTGTTTAGCCCCAAAAAGGTGAAGGGACTGACGGCGCTCACCACGCTCACGATGATCATGATCTTTAGCGCAAATATGATCTTTGACAGGTAGTAGTTCATCCCCGGCGGATCGTAGTTGGCCCCGTTCACCTGCATTTGTGGATACTTCTCGCCGAGAATGCCCACGTAGTCTTCAAAGGCCTTGCGGTAGCCACATGAGTAGCTGAAAAAAAAAAGGAAATACATCTTCAGCGTTATCAATCGAGCGCACGTATTTATGTTAATTGCCCTCCGGCCGTACCAATAAAGAAAAGTCATCGTCGGCGCAACGTTCTGGCCGAATTTAGTTGCCGGTATTTCCTTGCCTTCCTCGGTGGCCAGCGCGTAGCAGGCACAGAGGCAGAGGACCAGAAGCGCAACATTTCTTCCATTGAAAGAGTCCATTTCGTTGTTTTCTAGGTTTTTTTTTCCAAATCTGAATATAATATTTCCCAGCAGTGTGACCGCGGATTTATCAATAAAATGGACCGCCTGACCCTCAGAAATATACCTTCTCACATTCAAAATATACCGTAAATATACCAAATTTCATTTTTTTTCTTTGATACCGATAACTGCGTTTCATTATTTCATTGATACCGATAACTGCATTTCATTATTTCATTGATAGTTTCATTGTTTTTTCATTGATACCGATAACTGCGTTTCATTATTTCATTGATAGTTTCATTGTTTTTGATACGATAACTTCGATAACTCAAGAACGTTGCAAGGTGTGAGACCTAGAGAGGGAGCATGCGCTCCCCTGTGACTTCCACGGCCTTATAATTTTTCCAAATTCGCAAAGTGTGCCGCATTTTTGGCAAGTTAATGCTTGAAACATGGTAAATGTTATGAAAGGAGTGCTTGTGGAATGGTAAAGTAAACTAAATTTAGTGACAATATCCGTCTGATTGGAAATATTTGACAATGTTGTTTTTTGCAGTGATCCTGCTATGAAACAATTTCTGCTGCATTTGGACGAGAAGCTGGCATTGGGTCGCAAATTCATCATTCAAGATCTGGACGAGAGTCACCTATTCATCTCTACGGACATTGTGGAAGTGCTGCAGGCGCGTGTCGACGATTTAATGGACCGCATTAGTTTTCCACTGCACGACAAAGACGCCTAAATTATACTTCTGCTAATATACCCCCCTTTTTCCGCCCTCGACCAACAACTAAGTCCAATTCCAAACTGAAAAATTTGCCATGACGGGCCGAGAATCGAATCGCATTAAGGATGCAGAGAAGAAACGTGTGCTGGATGCCGCCGCTCGGCAGAGACGGGCTCGCAAAGCGCTCGAGGCATTGGAGCAAGACAACTTCCACGATGACCCGCACGCAGATCTGGTCATGTCCAAAAAGCTACCTAAATTCCAGGACAGTGTAAAGAACGCCAAGGAGAAGAAAGGCAAGCGGAAGGGTGCCGAGTACTGGGCCAAATACCGCAAAAACTTCCAGCAACTCCTCGAGGAGGACAAACAAAAGCCCAATTACGAGAGTGCAGCGGCGCCAGCTCCCAAAAAGCCAGTGCGCCACTTCTGTGCGGTCTGCGGAAACTTCTCGCAATATTCTTGCACAGCCTGCGGGACGCGCTACTGCCGGGTGAAGTGCCTGCGCACGCACCAGGACACACGCTGTCTCAAGTGGACCGCCTGAACTTGGTTGTAATATTAGTACCTAAGCAATAAAGTATACATAGATTGTAGATATATTGTACATTAAAAAATAGTCACGTTCTCATTGAATCGAAGGACTTTATGTCTGAGCACCCGTTATATCACAAATAACTCAATAAAAACATGTTCCCATTCTCAGAAAAAAATTGGTAATCCAATCCGTGTAGCTCGAAAGCGCAAGTTAATCCTGGTCATGCCGGGTCTGGTCTGGTTTTGACGAGGGACCCAACCCTATGCACCAGAAGAATGCAACCAAGAGGTGTCGTGTAGTGTGGGCCTATTTTCAGACGGTTTACTCGGATTGTGGCAGGTTTCAATCTCAGCCAGAACCTGCAGCAGTCGAGACCCCCGCCCTGATCATCATGTTTAGCGTGCTGGATTTGGTAGACGTGTCGAGTCCAAAAGTGCCATTTAATTAATTATCTTTCTTTTCAATCCGAATACGCGATCGTGAAAGCCTCAACGGCGAACGTCTGGAGAAGGCCAACCGTAATGGCATCTAACAGGAACGCCCACCCTCGCGCTCCGGCTCCAGCTCGTCACGTTCCACACCCAGCCTCAAGACAAAAGATGTGAGGTCTAAGATACTTAAGAATATATCCAAGAAACTACAACAAATATATATTCTATAATTATATAGATGGAAAAGCCGGGCGCACCAGCACCGGGCGGTGTAAATCCTAAACAAATTATGACCAGCAGATCGCTATCAGCGTCGCGTCCACCATCGGATCCAGCCAATGAAGACCGCCAACAATGCCGTACGATCCGCAATCGCATGTGCAAACAAATGAAATGGCATTCCACATCCGTCGTCCTGACGGAAAGTATGTGTCCAATCAGCAATACATCTCCCCAAGTGGAACACGGGGTACACTACAACTCTTAATTTAGACCTGTCCCATATATTATGTTCCTGTCATAAACATTGATTGATGAAGTCTAGCTCTTACCATGTTTTCTACTGCATGCTTATTTTAATATTTACGTGCAATGGTAGCACCTAATAATTGAGGAAAATTATTGCTTAAATAAAGTAAAAACAGACAGAAATTTAAATAGTAAATTAAGAAGAGGAAGGGAATTAGTGGTAGATATATATAAAAATACAGTCCTATAGCATAAGACCATGAGGGGCTTCAAAATAATAGTGAAATTCGACGTTCAACTATTTTAGCAAGTAATTTCTATATGATTATTTCCAATTTTAACCGACTTTTATCTCTTCTCTATTTATGAGAGTGCATTCTCTTTCCATGTGAACGATGAGGGTAGCCTGCAACCAGTGGCAGTTTCTCCGGATGCGGTGATAGGCTTTAACATATATTTTAATTTCTGCCGCAGAGAATGTATTTATAGGGTATAATAGGGTGTGGTGTACAAATATCCATACTCATAGCAGAAACATGGTTGAGCAGCAACAATGACGTCACATTCCGTACACACTGACGTTTTATGTTTTTTTTTTTGTAAAGAAGTCAATAAAAAGGAGTCTTTCAAATTAACTAATCCTGTGGGAAATTGATTCATCAATCGGATAAAATAATGTTTGTAGTGCTGAGGGACCAAGCTAGCTAGTAATATTAAATCGAAAATCAAAATCGAGGAATATCAATGCATCTTGTCGTATCCGCCATATATTTACGGTATATTTTGAATATGATAAGGTATATTTCGGTATATATCTGAGGGTCTGGCGGGATATTTTAACGATAAATTCGCGGCCACACTGGTTGGACTTCCACTCGTTTTTATCAACATTTTCAAACGCGACAGCTCTAAAACCGCAGCATTTTAAACAAATTTTAACGTGTAACCGAACAAAGATAAAAGTCTTCCCTTATTTCCACTAGCTAAATTTAACGTACCAGCCGGAATCAGCTGTAACACGGATTTTGTGTTTTATGCGCGTGTGTGTGTGTGAGTATTCGTGAGTCGAATCAGAACAAGGATATCTGCGAAAAGAAATTTCTGCCGAAAAGCGCATCCGAACGACCCCAAAGATGGACTTCAACTTTGCAGACCTGAAGAAGGAGGCAGCGGCCACCAGCGAGGACATTTATAACAAGGCCACGCACAAGGCTGGCCAGGCCTATGAGGACCTGGTGGGCGGGGACGGCAGCGACGCTGGCAACGTCAGCAGTGGCGCGCAGGACGACAATGCGCACACCGAGCACTACTTCGCCAACGAGCAGAAGAACCTGGACTTTAGTGACCCCCAGGCCTTTGTCCAGCGCATGTCTGCCGGGGCCAAGGAGGCGCAAGAGCAGCTTGACGCCAAGTTCGCCCAGAAGACGGACGAATTTGACGATTTTCTCAAGGATGCCGGCCAGAGTGCCAAGCAGGGCATCAGCGACCTGACCAGCGACTTTATGAACGCTGAGAGAGGATTCTTTGGTGGTGCCGCAGCTGCTCCCACATCTGCTGCAGCTCCGGCTCCGGCTCTTGCTCCTGCTAAGGATATCGCTGCAACGACTGCAGCTCCTGGTGCGAATGTCCATGAGGAGGACTTGCTGGGCAGCTTCAGTGAGAAGCCCGCGGCCCCACTGCAACCCTTTGAGCCCACGGCTCCGGCGAACACTAATTTCTATGACGATGACTTCCTGGGCAGGCCAGCTGCTCCCCTGACCTCCGCTACTGCCGCCGTGGGTAACAAGGATTCCGATACAGAGTCGCCGTCCGTTTCGTACACACCGTCGCCGGCCAAGAAGCCCATTGTGGATGCTCTCAAGGAGCAGGACAACGAGAAGTTCATCTCCTCCGAGGATTTGTTGAGCGATTTCCGGGAGGAGCGCACAGTCACCCCGCCCGTGGTGGCTCCTCCTCCAGTGCCACCACACGCTGTGAGCCCAGCTCCAGCCCCAGCACCAGCACCTGTCCCGGTCCCAGCAGCTGTATCAGCAGCCGCTCTGGTAACCGATCTGGACGACGAGGAGGATTTCAAACCCCGTGTAACAGTTGCGCCCAAAGCAGAACCGAAACCGGAGCCGCCCAAGCCCGTTGCCGTACCCACACCCAAAGTGGAGACGCCCAAGCCAAGGCCAGCACCAGCTGTGCCCGCACCGGCATCCAAATCGCAGCCTCAGCCAAAGATTGTGTCCGTGGAGGAGATCTTCTACAAATATGGACTGGGTAAGTGTCAGCACATATTGGAACTCCAATACAGTTCGATTTTTCCACTTTCGAATTAGTTTGTGCTCCACCGTTTTTTTAGTAGAGTATTGCTTTGTTGTTGCTGTTGTCGTTGTTTTTTGTATCCTGCGACCGCACCTTGCATCCCAGTTGGGACCTGCCGCCGCCCCGTCTCCTGACCCTCTCCTCTTCCAACTTTGTGCGTTTTGTTAGTCATTCGCCGCTCTCTTTGCGGCTTTTGCTTTGGCGTGTTATTCTCCCTGCTCACTTTGCTCATGATGTCATCGCCACCGAGTGTTCTCGTATTAAAAGTATTTTATATCGCGCCGCAAAGTTATTTGATAGCAAAGATTCCCACTGGAGTGTGAGTGGATAACGTGTAACTACTTTCTCTGAGCTAATCTCTCTCTCTGCCTGGAAGCAGCTTCATCCGCTCTGACGACCTTCCCATGGTCGATCGTCATCGGTTGGCGCGTGATTCACGCTCATTCAATGATGTGTATATGTATATAGTATATATTTTCATAAATACATATGTACGTACATACATATATAGAAAATGTGGATAAAATAAAGTAGAGCTCGTCGAAGTGGGCAGTACTCTTCAATACAATTGAATAACTTTGAATACATTAATAATAAATACTACATTACCCATATAATAAAAATCCAACAAATCTTAAAAAATTAAATAATAAACTCTACGGAAAAATTCGAATCTGCTCTGCAATTTTTCAATCAATAAAAGTTTAATAAATGTGACGAACTGTTGTTATTTAATAGTCGATGCATACATATGTACATATGTATGTATATAGAATGTAGTTTTAGTAAATATGTACGTATATTGATTTGGCAGAATTGATCCAGTCAATCCAGTAAAAATACCATTATTCTAATCAGATGAATATGCATGACATTTCCCTGTAAACTTATAACTTAAATGCTAAAATATTATAATTCGGTTTAAAGAAGATATAACTATACCATGCTATGATACGAAAAATCTGAGCAGATACATATATTAATATCAGCAATCCCGGCAACGAGAACTCTCGCAATTAGTTTCACAATTGTTCTAGATATTCCACCGGCATGAATCAGCTGCTTTGTGGGACCAGTCATCCACCCGACCTCCTCCACCTACATTCACCTCTTTAAATGGCTCGTCTCCCGCTCTCTGCGTTCATTGACGTACTCGTATGCCCGCTCATATTTCACATTATTTAAGTGCTTTTTTATTGTTTTAGTTTTTGTACTACGCTTTGGCTTTGCTGTCCATTAAAGCAATTTGCGGCACTCACAGCTCCACAGAATATGGTTAGTTGCATGAAAAACCTGCTACTATTTAGCAATATTTTTCTACTACTATTCGTGTTCCCGCTTCACCAATTAGGCCCATGGATAATCCAATTTTTCCCATTCAAGTCTTTGCCCATCCATCCCACTCATTGGCCGCTCTGGTCTCCTCTTTTCAATGCGCCTCACTGCGCAAATATGTATGTATGTATGTACATGCCCCTGTCTACAGAAAAACATTTTTCCAATTAGTAATTTCCATCGACGCCTGGGCCTCTGACCAGATCTGACTGCAGTCTGTGCATCCCTTTTGTGGAATGATTATGCGGCTATTTTTACTAGAATTAAAATGCATATGTACAATGTGAGTTGTTCTTTCTCTTTTGTCTTTACTCATCTCCCCTCCCTCCCCCCCACTTATTCCGCGTTTTCTTTTGTATTCCAATTTGCCATTGATTTCGTTTGGGATTTGGATCTATTTTCATACCCAGTATTTGGGGTGTACAAAGGCGTACTGTAATCGTTTAGACTTTTGTTACAGCCATTACTAATATATTGTATTTATATAAATAAAGAGTATTCTTGCGCAGAACATGGTATGTCCATCCATATCAATCTGTTGCAGAAAACTATCCCGTCTCCAATTTTAGTACTCTAAAATCAATACATGTTAAATCATCAGATCGGCTAAATATTGCAGACAAATTCATGGGGAAACTGCTTTCCAAGACAGCATAAGTACACTGAAAACAATTTTGCATAATGGGTATTGTATGGTGCGTTACTAGTATTTAGCCTTTAGTTGTTTCCTTTGTTCGTTAACGCTATCTATCCCTCCAGGCAAAGACTCTATAACACAAGATATAGGAGTCTTTGCTCCAGGTTACTCTTTCTCTCACCCTTTGTGTGACTGCAGCTTGACTGAAGCTTAGCATCCACTCTCTTAGCATCTCTCTCTCTGCTGTTCTTCGTTCACCTTGTCTTCTCTGCTTTATCGGCGCATTCTGCTTAATGCTGTAGTTCATTGGCAGCCCACATCCACGGCAGTTCATTTTCTACACATGTGGTACTATGCTCGTGAATTGTTTAATAATATCCCAATCCAGAACGGGAACATAAGTTTTATTTAATTTTCTTGATTTTTGTTGGTAGAACAGAAAGTTCAAATACGTACATATATGTATATCGGGTGAAAATATAACTGTGTAAACAAAGTTCTTTGTTTCTGTTCGATTTTTAAAGTGTTTTTCGTTAATTGCATCTCCCACGCTGGGACAATTGAGTCGACCGACGGAGTCGAGTGGGCTCTGTGTAAAAGGTCTGAGTAGACCACATGGCAGGCTGATCAAGTTGAACAATACAAAAAGTCGCTCTATTAAACAAATGTACAATATGCACATACATACAAAACTACGACTCAAGCAGACCTAACCTCAAAAGACAGTGTTCAGTCGAATTGAATTTATAGATTTTTTCTTTAGCTATTTGCATGCACTACTTGATCTAAATAAATCCCATCTTAATTCAAAATCATCTTGAATAGGACTATATTATAATTATATTATATATTATATATATACATATATATTATATTATACAAAATAACCCACGAACCGGAAAATGTCCTCTTATCCCCCATATTGATTTCCTCAGAACTGGGCCATTAGGTAGCTTTTTCCCCGCTTGACATCCCATTCGGAATGCGTCAATTCTTGTGAAATAAGTTGGTCAGCAGCCAACGTGAGATATTTATCAAGCAGAACAAGGACAATCCAATAGAGACCATACCATCCCCTCGGGGCAATATACGTATCCCAATAGTGCGTTGCCCGTATTCGTGCACGCTGATTGATTTCCTATCTAATTTTCACACTGCACGCAATAACATGCCAAGGGCGGGGCAGAGCAGTGGGATTTGGGGGTGGGTGGAGCAACAGCATCTGCAATTTGGCTGCACCATACACATACCGCACCCCCACAGCTGTCGCCGTCTGGTAATTTCCGGCCCAACAAAAACAACCGCAAAAACAAAAGTTTCGGTTGGGGCGGCGCATGCGCCAGATCCAACGACTTGGAGCAAAGTCTACACCGAAAAAGTCTCCAAGGGTCAGCTGCAGCGGGTGAAATCGATGAACGGGAAAACTTTTGCCCCAAGTCGGAGCTTTCTCCGCCAAAGCCGCAACCAGAGATAAAGCTAAAGCCAAAGGCGGAGCAGAGTTCAGGGCTATGAGGGGTTTCTCAACCCCAGGGTTGTCCCAGTCATTGATTTTACATCGCAACATAGTAGGTTTAATAAGGTGGAAAGTGGGCACGGCGGGGAGCCGGAGCTGGCTCTCTCACGGCGCGAGCGCTTTAGGCAAACGTAGGGTTGTCCTTTTCGGTCTTCGGCATGCTTTGGGATGAAGCTCTCTCCGTTTTACGTTTCAGTCTCTATACGCGTCGTGGAGCCGTCACACGGAAGCTAAGAAATTCTTATAGCGTATTATCGTAACGTCGTAATATCCCTCTCTCGGTCGCTGCGTAGCGCTATTCGTGTCAATCAACAACAACAATCAAATAAAACCGGACATTTTTGTATACAGAAGGAAAAGGAAAAAATTGAACTCCTTTCGTGGGTGCACAAAAAAATAACGATTTTGGAATAAAATAAACACTACATTTTAGTAGATAAATAAATAATGTCTGCAATTGGCGAAACCGGACAGAATGGCGTGTGCAAGCAGCGCCCATTCATTTGCTCCATTCTCGATCCGAGTAAGTTCCATTAGCATTAAAAGAAAAACTCACCCCAAAACGGTGGAAAACGGCAAAAACAAAACTAACCTCTGACAACTGTGGTATGGCGTATGGGGTAGATCTCAATTATGGATTGTATAATATGTATATGGGGTATGCAGTGAAAGCTTCCTTGTGGAGGGGACCTCATTTTGTAGTCATATACATGTGTACATATTTAAGCCATCGACTATCTCTGTGGGGCGGACATATCTTTTCTTGTGCCTGTGTGTCCGCCCAATGGAGCTTTCACTACTATTAGTACATACATACATATGTACTTAGCTATATTTATTGAGAAATTGTTTGCAAAAAATGTTCCAAATTGGTGACTGCTTTAATAGGCTTGCTCTGCTTATACTGCTATTCTTTTAACCATTTATTTCCCATTAATACCATACCTCTTCGAGCGCTTTTGCATGTAACACACAACCCCTGCACGCCTTAAATCTGTGTATATCTTTCCATCCTTATTTCTGCACCCCACCTAACTAACCGCTAACTAACGAAAATCAATATATCAATCGCTTATTTGCAGATGCCTGGTTCAAGCCCGAACGTCTGCACCCGCAAGGTAAGTGGTGAAGTGGCTCTCAAACTGTATGCACCCCCCACCCTCGCCGCTTGACCATAAATACGTAGTACTGGGTAAAATGGATGAATGGGTAATGTGAAGACTGTACAAGCGGCATCGCGGTAATGGCGCCCATGTCTTTCTGTCTGTCAATATGCGTTATGATGTCATCGAGCCACCCCCGTTACCATTTTCCTTTTCTTCGGTTTTGTTTTTTGTCGTTCGCTGTGCTTTGTTTTTCCTGTTTTTGATATACCCACAAGTATGCGCCAGGCTTTGAGCTCTTATTGTTCTGGAAATTCTTGGTGTTGTTTTTGTTGTTGATGTGCACCACTTGCTGGCGCCTTGGGGGATCAGGAAGTAGTGCGCCAGAAAGTATGCCACATTATTCCGCATATCCTTTGGAGTGTGTGCGATTGTGCGCTTTTAATGATTTTTCAGCTTAAATATTGTTCCTGACATATATAAAACAATCCATAGACAACCGAACGCATGGTATGCCTTAACGCATTTACAAATTTGGCTATAACATACATACCTACATACACATGTATTTATGTGTGTATAAAATAATACTTGCTTTTTATTGAACTTTTATACTATATAAGGGAAAAGGGATTTTCCACTAGTTAAAATTAAATCTATAAGTTTTCAGAATAACCGAATTTTTTCACCTTAAATATACATGTACATATCTGGAACCTCTGGGGTTGCTTTTTATCCGTTTTGCATTTGCATTCAAGGGGTAGCTAAATAGCTTTCTACACCTACCCAGAGGTACCCTACCCTCCCTGTCCAGTCGCATTGTAATTAGTCGTCGCTTTAATATAGTTCAGTTACCTTCCATGCAAACGACTGGCACTGGAGCGGCGAACGAGAGCTGTAACCGTAATCGGCTCGCATGCTAAGCGAACTACACTCCGTATACAAAAAACTTTTCCCCAACTATAAATTGCAAGCTGATATGGGGCGTCTGCTGTTGGCTTGGCTGGAGCAGGAGAAGGGTACAGGATGGGGCGCCGCATGCAATCGGAGCTTCGTCTAAGCATGCACTTTCCCTATGCATATGTACATTCGTTTAGTTTCAGCTCATGGCTACGAAAAGCATTTACTCTTGTTATGACTAATTTGCGCTTTAGTCTGGCTTTGTCTGTAGGGTTTGGTTGAGCTTTGGACTCGATGAAAAAATGTTCCCACCATAATCGTGCACTTCGATCTTTGTTGATCTGGTTAGTCACAGAGAATGAGAATTCGTAGATGATTTCATTTTTGTTAGCATTGTGAAATCGATAGAAGAATCTACTTTACTTTGAAATTCCTGAATACAATTAAGAATAAATAAATACCATAATTGATTCGATTTTAAATTAAGAATATTTGTACTTTTGAGTATTTATCTCTCCTCATTTATAAGATTATATGAATACAATATAAGGCTGAGAAATTATATTAAGATGATCTTTCAAAAGAGTGTACATACATATGTAGATTTAAAATGTTGTTATCCTAAACATCGATAGGTCTGTTTATACATTTTTCATCTTAAATCTTAATAGACTTCTCCACTTTAACTATATATAACTGATATTAAAATTCTCATCACAAAGGCAAATTTCTCTGCCTGTCCGACAGAAACGAGGTCTTGATGGCTTGAGCTTTGTGAATAATTATTTCTTGATAAACTAAAGAACACCAAATCCCTATTTGAAGTACTTTTATTGCCCCCACAACCATTCCCAACTTCGCAAGAATGTTCTCTTCGCTTCTTTCCTTTCATTTATTGGCGAGAAATAATTTCTTCGAGTGGGTAAACATGAACCTGTGGCTTCATGGCCACCACCCGCCCGGCTCTGACTGGGGAGTACAATGCCTAATTTGGGCTTGTCCGGATCTCGAGTGCTTTTTGCTGTGGACTGCCCACTGTGGGCACTCCAATCGTTCCAAGAGGCGGCGGCCCACATTAGCATTCTTGGGCGTAAAAGAAAGCCAGTCAAGCAAGCGTCTGGCGGGTGAATATGAAACTGTATATATGCGATTTATTTTCACATAATTAGTCTAGCGTTAAGAATAATGATTAATATCTGCTAGTTCAGTTTCTTAGACTTATTTAACGGGACCAATCCCAACCAGCGGTACACTCCAAGGTAGCTTTCACTGTACAGTGACTCATAAAGGTAGACCGACAAAATAATATGAATAACAATCTAATACAACGGGCTTTAGTTCTTTCCACCAAATTCTTGTTGAATGCAAAATGAGAAATCGGCCATAGAGAAATGCTTACGTGCCGCGAACGACATCAATAAAGCAAGTTCTCGTTTTGTATGTCTACTGGTATACAAAATTCATACATACATGCATACATACATGTACATACTTATGTATCTATACATATATTCAATATCTAAAGTTCCAGGCGAACCGATTAGATCATCAACGATACTTTTTCTAGCTTTGCTAATTTTTTGCCAAAAAGAAGACACAATCTCATTCCATGTGCGAAAAATTTGCACTCAAGTGCAAAAACAGAATTAGCAACAAAGCTCATAGGAATGATAAGCACAAAATGACTTAACGCCCGTTGTTTTTGATAACTAGTCCGAAAAGCAAAGAAAAAGATAAAAAGAGTGCAAGTCATATGTACATTGTACATATTCGCAAAAGCTTTCGATTTCCTTTGACTCTGACGTCAGATTTTATCAGGCAAATTCGTAATGTGTCACGAATGTAAAAAGAAACTTTTCAATTTAAATTTAACGATAAGCAGTGTGCACTGCTTCGCAAAAGCGTCGTCGACTGGTTCGTTCACAGTTCCCTGCTAATTTTAGCTTTTTAGCTAAGTGTATCAGACATTTGTTGTCGTTGTTGTACGGTTTAACATTTAAAGATACGACGTGGGCTGCACTGGGCTGTCAAGCAGTTTACCGCTTAGCTCTTACAGTGGAGCTCGACTTTGAAGGCTTATAATGGCAAATTATGTTAAATTATGTAAATGAAAATGATTTAGGTGTGAAATATTTGCTCCAATGTCAGTGAAATTCATCTCTCGATCTCTATGGATCTATGGTATGGGAAATTCGACTGTGCTTAAGCCGATATATGTACCTTTCATCTTCTCCCAAAGAAGCTTCACTGTACTTGCAGTAAAACCAGTTCCGACGGGTCAGGCAAACAGAATCGGAAAATTAGAGCCGCAACCCTGGCAGAGACCCTGTCGGAGCATCACGTGTACGTCTTTACACCCTACCTCCTTTCCATTTCCCTTTTTCCTGGGTACCTGTTGGCGCTGCACGCAGTGACATGTTCAAATCCGTCCAAGCAGCCGCTACCTAAACTGCATTGGGCTGCGTGCGGATGTGTGTGAGAGGTGACAACTACATTAACAGCCACAACAAATGTGTGCTGCTTGACAATAAACACACTCATCCAAGCGTTGCACCCAAAGTGTATGAACTATGAGGTGAGGCACTCTCAGGGAGCGCTCAGACGGAATATGTACTATATGTACGTATACCTGTAACTCCAAGACTAAAGGGGTACGGGTATCAATAGCAAGTTAATATACACCCAGCTCTTACTCTCTCTGCACCGCTCTATCACAGTCTGACTCGTACTTGAGTACCGAGTTGCATCGACTCAAACGTTTCGACTGTTTATATATATTTTTTTGAATAATTTACAGCTTGTAATGTGCGACTGGGAGAGAGGGATTGCCTCACCTTTTATGCACACACACGCACACCTTGAGCACCCTCGCTCTCTCTTTCTCATTTTTGGACGGACTCTTCTGACCCGTTCTATTTGCAATATATACCAGTGGCGGAGGGAGAGGGACGGGACCCATCCACCGTATCAGCCCCTATGCCGTGTCCCTGTCCCTTCAGTCTACTCTGCATGTGTTTGTGCTGTCTGCTGGCGTGCGTTTGCCTGTGTAGTGTAGTGTAGTGTAGTGTGTGAGTGTATCTATGTGCGCCCTGCCCTGAGCTCAGCGCATCTGAAATTAATTGTATTTAGTTGATGTACGGACTTTGACAACGTCACATTGCCCCAGAGACGGCAACGAGATCGAGATCGAATACGAGTACGAGACGCGAAAACGACATCGGGTAAACGCTGCTTCATTTCGAGTATCTGTGTGTATTTCAGTGTGTTGGTTGCATGCCACAGATTGCTGTCAGCTGTTTGAACTCCTCGGCTGGCTGACCTGCACTTGGAGCTGACAGAAACACCGATCCGCAACTTTGTCTTTGTCATTGCCGTGGAAGTTCTTGTCTTTGTGTCTTCTTCACCCCTCTCTGACGCTCGCGAAACGCCGCGGAATTTCTCGGTCTTTTCTAATTATATAACTTGGATAGGTGCCCCAACGCTCTCACAGAATATACATACATATTAAGACGAGCACGCATTATAAAGCATTATATAGTAGCGACAAATAAAGTCAAACTTCTCTAACGCGAACATCCCCAAAGCCTAAATGGACAAAGAGTGATCTTTAAACTGCAGTTAAGCTGTACAAATTCCGGTCATTTAGTGTTTGAGGAGCAGTTGTAGCACCTAAATAAAGTCTATAAGTAGAGAACTAGACAAATCTCTGATTTTCCTTCCCTGATTTGGTTTCGATTTAAAAAATAAAAAAATAAAATAAAACTGATAAGTAAATAATTAAGTCAAGAAATAATTAAATAACAATATTAATCCAGATGGCAGAACGTAATTCGAGTTAGAGAAGGTTGACTGTAGTAAATAAATCCTGCAGAAATGATGATATAAATCTAATCCCATTATCTTTGACAGTCACTGCGGTCGGCCACGCTGCCGTCCGCCGTCGCCGTGAGTCGCGTATCGTAGCCATGCTATATTATTCTCATATCAGTTCCGAGTGCGAGGAACTTTCGGAGGCGCTTTTGTCTAGGTCGATCGATTGCCGGTTCGGATTGGATCGTCGCGAGTCGTTTCAGTTGCCATTCTACGGTTAATGTTAATGCCCGCCGTTGCATTCG